GTTTTTGCTCATATTACATATATTTGGTGAAATTTGATATTTTTTTCCAAAAACAGAGGGTCGGAGGAGGTCGGCCCGGCGCCTAAGACTAGGTTCCCGACTCTAAGATTCTACTCGGGCCTGTAAAGAAAAGAGTAGTTTATAAAATTTATTTACTTCCATATATGGATCAACCTGTGCTGCTGCTGAAAATGCTGGAAAAAGAAAAGATATAAATATTAAGGCTGGAGTAAACCAATAGAATACAGAGTACCAAGGTTTTCCGCTTTAAGCACAATAAAAGATGATTGGAGAAATCTTAGAGAAATTTTTTAATTTAAAAAACTAACAATTGTACCATTTAAAACTTTGTAATGGTGTGATGGATGGAAAAATTAGGAAAGGAGTTGAGTCTTTGCCACAAACTCAAATATTCTAATCCTTTTATCTTTGCAACCTGTTCGTGTAAACTTTTGAAATTTCAAACTTGGATTGTTTGATCCAACATAATTTACAGTTTGAATTATCAAATGTGTACGACATTGTGTTGTAAAGATATAAGGATTGGAAAATATGAGTTTGTGGCAAATACTCAATTCCTTTTCTATCCGAATAAATGGGCTACTGACAATCTTGAAATTGAGTTTTAAATGACCCTCTCTGTAAAAATGGCAAAGCCCGATATATAACGGTACCCTTAAAAGCTTTGTCTGATCAAGTATGAATAAGATATCCATGATTTTGTTTATTCTATTCTGTAAATTTTCAATTGCGTTTTCTCTGCAAAAATGACTTTTCTTTCTTATTAGAAGCAATGGAGATATTATCAGAATTAGATACTTTTCCGAGTCAGGAAAACGAGGTTATCTTCCACATCTGTAAAGGTTTCAAGAGTACCGTTGTAAATCAGCATTGACATCTTATCATAGAGGGTGACTTGAGATTACGCTTACAGTCCCTTTAAAACAACGACAACTATCCCTTTAATTACCTTATTTTATTTTAGTAACATTAAACGAGGAACGAATAATGTTCGACTGCTCAACTCCGCTGTAATAAATGATTTTACAATGCTCACCTACAGACAACCCTTGAAAGCTAGAGATAGGTAAAATGATTCTAGTTCCTAAAAACAGATATTCATTTAGGCTTTAAGAATTGTAAAATGTCACGGATTTTCCCGTGTTTAATCTTGCTTTTTCTCAATAAAAGTAGACGTTTAGACGTACGCAAAGGTTAAACTTATGTGAAATAATGGGTATAATACGAGTTTGTAATCTTGTGGCTTTCCTATTTTTGATCTTACACTGAGTTACGCGCAAGTTTAAGGCATTTTTATTGCATGTTCTATATTCAAAACGGTTTTATTAAAAGTTCTTAAGACACGTTTGTTAAAAAACATTTGGTTTTTAATCTTCACTATGATTTTTAGTAATTGTAACAAAGTGAAAGCATGCATCTTATGGATGCAATATTGTTCAAATATCTAGATTTTATCATTCATATTTAACCCTATACAAAAGTTGGGGGGTCTGAATCTATGTATAGCCTGAGCGCCATTTGGCGCCCCCCCCCCCCTTGAAAAAGGCCTCATAGAATAGGTATAGGGTTGAAATGCTTGTTCATAGCACAATTAAAAAATTAGACCGATAACTTTAATTGCTTGGGTGCTAAGAAGGTTGAAAATGCCTAAAAAAGTGTTAAAAAATGAAAAAAAAATTTTTTTTTGTTTTTTTAAGGGCTTTTCAGAAATATAGATTTTAGATCTGTAGCTTAAGTCACAAAAAAGTTATGGGCTATATTAGATTTTTTTCACAGACCGGACTTTTTTCCGCCCTGTAACCTACCCTATTAATAAAAAAAATATTTTTTGACAAAAAATCCTTTAAATTACTATTTATTAAAAGTCACAAAATTTCACGGTGATAGTGTCGAGTGCTAAAACAGAAAAACTACAGGGTTGTAGGGTTGAACCTGAAAATTTCAACATTTAGAATTTTATGTGCTCATCTTAACCTCCAGTTTCAAAAGCATAATTTTTTCTCTACATTGGGTTAACAAAGCCACATGCAAAGAGACGAAAAATTTGGGACTTGGAGAATTGCATTAGAATAAAGAATTTTGGTGGTTTCTAGGGGTTTGACCCAGGTCAATCTAAATAAAGTTTCAACACTCTTCGCAGTAATCTAATTCCCTGAATCAAGAATTTTACTTTGCAGATTCAACAGTTTTGATTAAATTATATAACCTTTATGCAACGAGTATATATGGATCCAATTTATGGAATTTATTTTCGAATGATGTGTTCAGAATTTATTCGTCTTGGAACACTGCAGTTAGAATTGTGTTTAAATTACCAAACACTTGTCATAGATATTTTATCGAACCAGTGCAGTGTCACAGTCATCTCATTTAATGACCATGTTCTGCAGTAGATTTGTTTCATTCATTTCTTCATTAGAAAATTCGTCAAAAATTTGTATCAGACTTTTGATAAATCTTTTAAAATTCGATCAAAGGTCAGTAACTGCAAAAAATCTGAGAAATATTGCAGACAAATGCAACAAAGATTTGAATATTATCGACAAACGTATTGTAAAAAATTGTATGATATTTCAAGAAATACCCTTGGAAGAAGAATGGAGGATTCCATTTTTAAATGAATTAATTTCTGCAAAAAACAATAAGATTGTTATCAATGGAGTTGACCAAGCTGAGATTGACGATATTATTAATTTTATATGCACGACCTAATTACAGTATGATTCTGTTTCTTGTATTTGTATTCATTTTTGATATATACTCTTATAGTTCTTTTTTCTTCTGTTTAATTGTACCAATTATTTAAATTGTGTACGTTCACGAAATAAAATAAAAAAATAAATAATTGTCCGGATAAATAATGGATTGATCCAATTTTAACGCAAATATGTAATCCTTTACTTTGTTACATTTCCTAAAAATAATTCTGTAGCATAACATCTATTTGTAGTTTATTTCTGTATTTAGGTATGATCTGGAAATTTATACAAACCAATCTCAGGCAGTTATCTGGGCAGTAGGTCCAGTAAATAGCCAGGTGTATTCAGAATTTTGCTGCCGCAAAAATATTGCCGTCAAAAATATATTTACATTTTAGAAAGAATTGTCTGCTTTTAACCTTTTATTTGTTAGACCTTAAACTTTTCCATAAACTCTTGAGTTTTCAAAATATTTTTATATTTTTAACTTGGCAAGCATTGTTACCTAAATGAAAGTTAATTCTAAAATGTATTAATTTATGAATTATTGTTTACTTAAAATAAACAATAAAGGAAAATAATGTATGTACGATACAATTGAGCAAGTTATGTCTTTTACAATTGAGAATAAATGGAATAAACAAATATTTAATTTTTTCTTATGAATTATAATGAATTCTATATTTTGAAGGGGGAGGTTTCCTATCATCAGAAGCGAATTCGGGATGATTTATTCGTTGATTTTGGCCGAATACCACAATGGAACTGTCCTATCGCCGGGAAACCGGCTCCTAAGAAGGAGCAGGTTCGCGGCGGTTCCCGCCCCACTCCGGCACCCGTCGCTAAACCCGCCAAGGCCTGGTTTATACCACCGATCCAGTGTTTTGAACCAGAGGATGGAGTTTTCTTTGCTCAGGTAAACTTATTGAAAAGTTTAGGAGTCGCTTTAAATACTGCGTACAATCCTTTAAATACTGCGTACAATCCCTTTAAATACTGCATACAATCCCTTTAAATAATGCGTACAATCTTAAATACTGCGTACAATCCCTTTAAATACTGCGTACAATCCCTTTGAAATATTAATCTTAGTTTTAGAAATTGCGCAAAACAGGTTGTTATTAAGAAGTCTAAAATATTTTATCTTAAAGAGGAATATTTTGAAAATCATTCATCAGGATTAGAACTTGTAAAGAAAATATCAGGGTGTCTGGGAAAATTCATAATTAGACTTAAATCATGAAACATTCATGTCTGGAGACGGGGAG